GAATTTCCCCCCCCCCCTCGGTGTTTTTTTTGGGGGGGGGGATGAGGGGGTGTTTGGTATTTTTGGTTAAACCATCTGGCGACCCTACTGGCAGTCTGCTGCCCAGCCCTGCCTCTCCCCCGGCGCCGCCTGCCTGCGTGGAATAGGGCTTTGCGGTGTCAGGAGGTGCAGGGGCCATGGGAAGAGGCGAGGGGGCAGCACCATCGGGGAAGGGGTGGAACTGGGTAGGAAAAGGCAGATTTCAGCTGTGCTTGCACGTCTGGGTTCCAACTAGAAGCAAAAGCCTTAGAGCCCCAGGAACAGCCTCCCCCGGGCAGGGCTGGCTTGGAAGCAAGAACTGAATCTTAGAACATCTGCTCTTGCCAGAGGTGAAGCCCCGTGTGGCAGATTCAAGAGGAGCCAATACAAATGGGAGCGGAGCAGCCTGGCACCCCAGGGCATCGAAGGCAGCGATGAGGGTGTTCAGTAGGAGTGGCCCTGACACCCCCAGCAAAAGACTTTAATCAATGAGTTTGCAAAACGGGGGTGGGGAGTGGACGGACTGCTCTTTGGTCTTCATGCTCCTCGGGAACTGTGGCTCCAAAAGGCCAGGCCATGGCCAGCCCCATCAAGCCCTGCCACGCAAGTGCTGACGGCTTTAAGATGAGGATGTTAACGAACAATTAATTGACTAGTCGGTGGAATTTCCATCGACTAGGGGTTCTCAACTCATTTCAGTCCACGGACCACCAGGCCAATCAAAAAATGTTCATGGACCACCTCCTTTTTGAGACATGATTTAAAAAAAAGCAGACAACGAACATTTTGGTTTGAAATTTATTTCTTACTAACAGATTTTTGGTGCCTGCGAGTGGAAGCGCCCCACAGAGCCTCGGGTCAGCGGGGGAGTTGGGCTGAGGGCTGGAGTGTGTGTAGGGGTTAGGGCTTCAGAGGATGGGAGGGGGTCAGGGCTGGGGCAGGAGGCTGGAGGGCTCCAGCTGGGAGTGCAGGCTCTGACGTAGGGAGGAGCGGTTTGGGGTATAGGAGGGGCTTCTGGGCTGGGACCAAAGCTGAAGAAGAGGGTTGGGGTGCAGGAGGGGCAGGGGGCCTTAGGGGAGCAGGCTCCCAGCTACACTTTCCTCAAGCAGCTCCCAGAAGCAGTAGCATGGCCCCCTTCCAACCCACTCCTACGCGGAGGTGTGGCCAGGTGGTTCTGTGCACTGTCCCCCCATCTGCAAGCACCATCCCTGCAGCTCCCATTGGCTGCAGTTCTCAGCCAATGGGAGCTGCGGAGGCAGTGCTTGGGGCGGGGCAGCAGAGCCCTCTGGCTGCCCCTACACGGAGGAGCTGGCTGGAAGGGGGACGTACTGCTGCTCCTGGGAGCCACTGCACACACGGACTAGGGCAGCCCTGCACCCTGCTCCACAGCGGGAGTCCAAGAGCTGGATTAGAATGGCTGAAGGGCCGGATGGGGCCCTGCCACTTGAGCGAATGGAGGGAGTCCATTCACTGGGAGCAGCGGCATCCCGGCAAGGCAACAATGAGCAAGAGGAGACAAACCCTAGAGTGCCTGACCGTGTCGCCTGTGGCAGCTGGGGGGAGTGCTGCTCTGAACCCAGGACGTGCGCACATCCGCCTCTGGCTGGCTCAGGAAGAACTCTTCAGCGCTCCACTGGCACAAACACGGCCAAGCAGAGGATGGGCTCAGCTGAGTTATTTTCAACCCAGGGATAAAATTTGACTTGTCTTGGCAGAAAATTCCACCCATGAGGATTATTGTGGATTGAGTCTCTCAACAGGGGGGCAGAAAAGCAGCCGCAGACGCTGACAATTCGACCATCCCCACTGCAGTAGCATTAAGCACCAATAAAACACGGTTTCCTGTAAACCGAATGCTGAGTGAAGACTGGGACAGACAGTTCCAGCTTTTGGAGGGTGTCCTTCAAACCAAATTCACAAACACATCTAGCGATGGACCTAATGTCTCTATGTTCCTAGCTACGTTCCTAGCGTCTCCTCATAATACCTGAGTTTGCAATGCAACGTTCACTTTACCCTGTTTAAAAACCACAAGTCGCCAGAGGACTTGGTGCAGAAGACATCGACTGCCCAGCGAGTTAGGGTCCGGTTCGGTATGTTAGTCTGGTTCTTGCTTGCGAGTTAGCACAGCTTTTACGCTCAGTGCAATGCAAGGCGGCTTGGTAACAGATACTGTTGCCAATCAGCATTCCTAAAAGCAGCTTACACAGTTGCAAATAATAGCACACCACCCCCATCATCAACACGTTCATTAAATCTGTGCACAGCATTTTTGTGGGGAGTCAATTTTGGACAGTGCACAAAATGGTTGTTTTTGTCAGGTACTTGGCAAAAACAAGTTTTTGGTTTAGCAGAGGGATCTTATAATTACAACAGACCCTATTCATCGATAATTTATAATCTAATAACTGTGGAAGTTCAACTCCTCCTGAAATGTGTGAGCAAGCCAGAAAACAACCCGTAATAAAAGTATCATGTGGAATTACCTGAAAATGAATGTCAAAGCTGTCAATACTTCCTAACTTAGAAACAAGCAGATGCCCTGACATTTTCCCCGTGTACCCTTGAGGTATATGCTGTATGCAGAAGGCTTTCCTGAGAATATGTGCTTGTCTCACTTTATAAGCAGAAAGCAAATGAGATTCATGAACCTAACTTTGGATCTGAAATGTGATAAAACTGGACTTCTGCTGATCCCAGCAGTGGTTACCCGTAATATCTTATTTGAGGAAAGTGAATATCAGCAGCTAGACGACTACCTAAAGCAAGGGAAACAATCAAGTGGGAAGCAGAACTTGAGAGCAACACCACCTGCCTTTGGCCAACGGGGTTAGCCAACAGTTTGTCTCGGCAGAGATGGTTTGGATGGAGTGGTCTTCATCTCTCGTGGGAGGCAGGACCGGGCTGCGCTCCTTGCATGGAGTAACTGTTGGCGAACCTAGAGAAGTGCCAAGCTAGCCAGGCCCAATGGCTCTGGGGTTGCTATCCCACTACGCTGTAGGACGTGCTCGGGACTTCTGCACCCTCCCCCCCAATTCGTCTGTGGCCAGGGGCCGGGACAGCGCTTGGGCGGAGAGCAGGTGCTTATTCAGAAGCAAAGGCTGCTTCTCCAGAGCATGTGTTGGCCGTGCACCGGGCACTGCAGCGCATCTCGGCTGGACGGAGAACGCCCGGACCGTTTCTCCCACCCCACGAGAGCGGAAGTTGTTTTCTGAACTCAAGGCAGTTCAAAAATAGCAGGGTCTTTAGCATTCCAAGCAGCCTGCTGGGACCACTCAAACCACCAGCCACAACTAAGGGTCCCAGCAGGACATGCTGGCTGCCTAGCAGAAGGAGGGAGATTTCATCAATGTATCAATGATGGTAACAGGGAAAGAAACGCTTCCCCAGTTAGCAAGCCTGTGGCTGCAGGAAACGATGGAGGACACGGAGGCTTACTGGACAGTGATACATGGTAACCAAACAGCGCAGTAGCAGCAATTCGAGTATTTCGAATGCACTGCAAGTAGCGGCATTGCCAGGTGCCACATCTACATCCTGGGAGATTCAGAACAAAGCAATGTACACAAGTTGCACTAAAAGCCAGGCTCTAAGCAGGAAAATGGTACACGCAGGACGTGGGGAATGCCCATACGTTTGCCAAGGTTCAACAGGCACCCAACTAGGGACCTTGCGAGGTCATTGAGTCCAGTCCCCTGCCCTCATGGCAGGACCAAGCACCATCTGGGGCATCCCTGACAGGTGTCTGTCTAACCCGCTCTTAAATATCTCCAGGGATGGAGACTCCACAACCTCCCCAGGCAATTTATTCCAGTGTTTGACCACCCTGACAGGTAGGAAGATGTGTGCATGTATGTGTGTGTGTTGGGGGAGGGAGGGCTGGTACAGATGTGTGCAGGGGCTGGTACAGATGTGTGCCTGTGCATTGATTGTGAAAGGGATTTGAACATGTAAAACCAAATGTGCATCTAAACGTGGCTGTCGCCGGCCTGCGACAGACGGCTCCGTGGCGTAGGGAGCAGCCTCTCTATCAGGCCACGCTGTTAGATCGTTGGCTTGCGTTGCCCCAGCCGGTGGTAGCGGGTTTCCGTTTAGATCATTACTGTGTCAAGAAATAGCTGGATAAAAGGCACCTTGTTTCAGAAGGCTGCGTCCGTGTCCTCCAAACACTCCCCTAGCCACAGCCGCAGACCCAGGCCCCACGCCAGAGCACGCAGAACAGGTAGGAGAGCTAGTCCGGGGTATCCCAACGCCATTACTGGGGTCACTTCTCTCCCTCATCTCTTCTGAAGCTTGGCACTTCTCTAATGCCCACTCCTGCGAGGGGCCAGGCCTGAGATGCTAACAGCTCTCTGGGTGAAGCGAGGCAGTTTGCTCTCTAGGCAAACACTCTGGGTATGAATCACGGAACGAGCAGCACACGAACAGCATCTTCTCCTTGAGGTAGTCTTAGTCACATCAGCCCCCCGCTCCCCAAATACAAAAGAACTAACCCTAACAAACACTGTAACATTAAAACATCTTCACATTCTGTAAACTGCAAGAGAATGCATCTGCTGCATTCAGACAGAACCATGTGCACTGTGTTGAAGATCATACATTCAACTCTGTCGTGAAATAAATAGATAGGAAAAGAGTTTAAAAAACAACAAACAAACAAACGATTCTTGCTACAATGGCAGGGCCACCTGCCACCCTGTCTCAGCAGCTCCCTCCTGCCTTGATCCTGGTTTCCCCGTTTCTTCACCTGAAGCACCAGAGTAAGGCATGGCGTCGGGGCTGTGC